TGGGGTTATCTTTCCCGTTTCTAGGCTTTTCTCGGATATATGTCCTCTATTTACATTTTTTTTAATTCATTTTCTTGCTTAATTTTTGTTTTCACAAAATTTGGACCATTTTTTTTCTTCTTCTTCTTGTTGACTATTTACATGTCTACTTACATATGAAATGCTATTTTTATTAATTAAACTAAAGTTATCGAACCTTATACATTTCTTAACGCGGGTTTGTTTTTGTTCAAATGCCCAAAAAAAATAACAAATGTCCCTCTAATTTCGGGCCAATGACTGGTTTTTCACATCCAGTTTGACACAATTAAAATGAGACCATGACCCAGATAATCATTTCTGAGTATAAAAGGCTCGAAATCAAACATGGCAATCCTACAAACGCAAAACACCCCAAAAAGCTATAATCTTCCCAAGAGCCCTAAAAAGTAAAGCAGAACTAGAAACGATTCATGTAGAAAGGATTGTGATGTTGATAAAGCTGGTAAAATTGGGACTCCCCTGGTTGTGTCCAACGGCTGTAATTGTAATCTGAGCTTGAAGTTCCGGTGAAACTTCTGCCGTAATGATCGACCGGCCAAGTCAGTCTTTGACGTAGTGAGTCATGTCCGGGATGATAGTGGTTGCTTGACTGCGAAGCAACGTCTACTGAGCTCTGATTGTTTCCACGCTTTTGTCCTCTCTTATTCTTCTTCTTCGGAGAGCGTGGTTTGCTCACGGAGGAGGAAGCAGCTTCCGGTTCCAAAGGCGTCTTGCTAGTGACAGAACCAACCTCTGCTAAATTTGGTGGTTTTGACGTCAGGGATTCTTTGATTGTCAAATCGGGTTTGGATCCAGACCCGGATCCATCCAATAGGTCTCTTCTAAGCTTCAAAAGCGAATTGACTTGTTCCTTGAAGTCTCCGATTTGAAACTCTGACTCCAGTTTGTGGCACGATATGCATCTAATGGCAGCTCTTAGTGCTTTTATCTGCCTGTCTATGGCTGCAACCTGTAAAATCTGTTTTGAGTTGCTACTATCTTTGAGTTTAACAAGTTGCGACCAAAGAAAGGACGGGACTTTACCTGCGGTGCAGATTCCTTATTGGCGTCTCTAAACGACTTCTCTGCAGATTCCTTTGTAATCCTCAAGAAATCGTTTAGAATAGCAGAAACCGGTTGGAATCTATTGACCATATCAAATGAGTATATGTAGTCGATTGCCTTGAGACGATACCCAGTTTTAATGAGATTTTGAATGAAACCTGTAGTAACAAAGCCATCTCGAGTAAAACGGCTGAGGCTAAACTGATCACAAGTTCATAAAGTTGAGACATTTCTAACAGGATGCTAAGGGGGGTTTGCAATAGCAGGAGAGTAGAGAAAAGAAAAATAACCTGGGACTGCGTTGACAAGCCCGAGAAACTGGCAAAGATCGGGAGATACCGTTCGCCAAGAAGCATTGTCCAGTAGACCGAGAAGGTCATTAGCCTTGAACTCTGACACAATTCTGAAGATACCCAGAAAGTGAAGGAAACAAATGACTTCCAATTTATCAGTCTTGCTCTTTGAAAGCTTATCTTTCCAGTAAACCGCAAGTTTCTTTGCATCGCCCTTCAATGGATGTCCAATTTGAGGCGAGAGCTTCTTTAGCTGATCCAGCAATAAGGAGCAGCTAGCTGAAGTAATCAGCAGCTTGAACTTGTAGACCCCTTCTGCGTTTGTAGGACATAGAGCCATGGATGTGTCTACAACAAGCTTTGCTGGATCTGGTGTGCATTTTAGAGCATTGGAGAGATCACTCTCCTCTAGAGGTTGCTTTTCTACTAGCTCCCTTAACATGTCCGCGGTGATTGAACCAGAGAGAATGTTAGGCTTAGTTTCAGTGCTCAATGGATACGCTGCTTCGGCGTCTTTCTTATGATTTATTCTCGATTCTTCAGCCTTCTCCCCAGAAGGAACGGATACACTCCCGACCCGATTCACTGCACAGTTCAAAGGCATAAGAAAATTTTCAAAATTAAGGCCATCTTAAACACTAGAACAGACAAAATTACATGATCTCTTAAAATGATGTCTCAAGTTTCCTCCATGACAAAGATGGAAAGAACTTATCTAGGGTAAAGTTCTCTGTGCAATTCATGAAGCAAGCCCTTCAAATATTACAGAAACTCAAGTACTCTGTGCTAAATTAGATACCTAGGGTCAAAATGCTAATTCATGCGCAAGGTCAATCCATGAATCAGCATACCTGTTGAATTCTGAGTAGGATTTATTGGTTCATTTAATCTTTGACGCTTAGCTTTCTTCTGTCCAGATGGAATAATAGAACCAGCGACAGAATTCTTCGCAGTGTTGGTCTTGCTCTGACTTTTTTCATCACTTTTATGAACTGGTTTCATTGCTCTCTGGGGTGATTCATTTCTCTCCAGTCCAGCAATCAGCCTTCTAAGAGCTTTAAGAGGAAACCAAGACTCGAGTTTCTTCTCTTTGATATACTCAAGGGTCATGACTGCATCAGCTTTTCTCTTCTCCCTCTTCGCTGTCTAAACAAATCGACTAGTTTAACCAACTTACATCACACATAGCAGAACCACATTGGAAGGATCAGAGAGAGAGAGAGGTTATCTTACCTGTGCCTCCATTGAGTTTTCGCTCCCAGCTTTTTCAGCGGAGTTCATATGCTCAAGCAAAAAGGCTCCTGAAGAAAGCTGAGATAACCGGAACTCACAGATGAACTTGATTGCTGCAAAGTACTCTTCCTTTTTCTTTAGAGTTTCAATCACACCTGCAGAGAAATTAACATGAATTTTCAGATTTTGGGCAGCAACCACTGTTAATCAGACTAAAAACAAGAAGCAGGCATTACCAGAAACCTTATCTTCTAACCCCAAAAGCTGAAACAGTGTCGGAGCCTGATCATACAAAAGGAAGCGCTCTAAGAGAGTTAAGAGCACCTCAGGAGTAGTCACGGAGGCCAAACCGTAAGCAGCCAAAAACAATAAGCAACCTAAAACCCGCGAGGAATTGTTCTGATTGGTTATTGCTTTGCCTATCCAATCAATCCCAAGTTGAGTCGCTTCCTGTTTCACCTTTGGTGTGATATTCAGACTCATCTGTATCAGTTTCTCTAGCAACACAATGCAACTATCAACTACACTATCAAGTCTATCATCAGTTCCTCCAAAATCTTTATTCAAGTATTCCTTAAAAGACCATTGTATAGCATCCAAAACAAGCTTTGCCGGGTCCAAATACGGAATCATTCTTGCCAAAGACGCGTTTCTCTTGACCAAATCATCCGCAAAATCTGTTACATTTTCGTTCAGGTAAAAAGTCGAACAGTTTGTGGGCATTGTTGTGACACTCGAGCCTATGTTTTTAGCCAACAATGAAACTAGTGGCTCAAATTCACCTCTCAGCTTTTCTTTGGCGCTAATCA